TGCCATTTTCTACGCCAAATTCATGTAAATTGGCCAGCCATCCCAAAGACATGAGGGCACAGTGTAATAGGTTATACGAATAAAGAAGTAAGTACAACTATCAATCATGTTGTTTATAAATCAGTTATTAGTTATAATGGGGACATTAAATATCCTATAGTTAAAAGTAAACTATCCTTTAAGGTTATATAATAAAAATACCCCCGCCGCAGCAAACCTGCCGACTAAGCGAATTTCCATTTGTCTGAATTGATTTTCAGTTAAATATATTTTAATAACATTAGGTTTAACGAGTACCTAGGTTTGCTGCTACAAGGAAACTAATAAAGTGTGTTTTTTGAGTAAAATATTGATAGCTTAGTACAAAATAAATAAATTTGCCAAGTTTGATCAAAATATATTCATAAACAAGCAAACTACAACATTTGACAATATTCTCCATAAGAATAACATGGGAATTTTAAATTTACAATTTTTTTAATTTTCTCCGTTACTAATAATCGAACAAAAATACTTTTATATACTAAATTATTTGTTTTTTTAAGCTCTTTAAAAAGGTCTAAAGAAAAATTGGGAAATTTTGTGTTTTGAGGGTCAAAAGTGAGAAAAACCAATTTTTACCCCATAAAACCCCCCGTAAAGCCCCGTTCCCATGGTCCGATCGTGCTGGTTCGCGAACTCATTCAAGTTTATCACGCTTTACACCTTTAAACCAAATTTCGTCAAATTCGGACAAAAATTACTCAAGTTATCGCGTTCACGGACGTATATATATAAATATATATATATATATATATATATATATATATATATATATATATAAGTCTATATATATATAAATTTGAACGAATAGTGTTTTTGGCCTCTGGGGACATCAAAATGAAAAAGTAAATCGGTCCCGGGTCTAGGTCTTACCGTGCCACCTACGGTAATAGCTACTTCCCTATAGGGAAATTCGCTAAAACGTTGGTGTATGAGATTGAGATTGAAAAACACTTCATTATCCCGCAGTAGTACCAATGAATACACAAACTATAGTTTGGGTAGTATATAGTATATTATATAATATATATTATAGTATATTATATAGTATAGTATATATAGTATATTGGTAGTACTATGCAGTACAATTCGATGAGTCAAATGAGCTTCTGTATATCTTTTCTTAAAACGGTCTACAGCTTTAACTCTGAAATTGAAATAAATTATCTGCTTCACAGTCCGTCAACGATTTGCTTAAAAAGTGCATTGTTGGTGATTGTAAATTTATGTGGCTTAAACCATTAGTGTGATTTCACATCAGTAAAACAAAAGTTTACTATGTTTTGGGATCAAGAGATCTTCAGGTGAGAAAAAACCTCGAAATGGGCCTGACAAATGTATTGCACAATATATGGACTCCTTGGCCTTTGCGGTAATAGTATTCGTTCGTTGATTGGACAGGATGGTTGATCGTTTGATTTTCCAATCGGTCCTGTGTTTATTTTCCATTTAACCATTTCAGCTACGGAACTATGGCACTGACTCTGAAGACGGAGTGAGATTCCAGATTCTGAACGGTAGGCTACGTGGTTAATTGGTTATACTAAAATGTTGGAAAATGTCCTCAATATCACTTTGAAATGTTCGTTGAGCGGAGTTTGAGCGCTTATGTTTTTATTCAATATTTTTGGATTTTCCATTTGAAAAGCGAACAAGTGTTAGGAATGAGGTTTGGAGTTAGAATGAAGGCTACCATAAATTAATAGCCCTGCTGCAATGCTATGCCGGTTCGTGGGCCGGTGACTGGTCGTAGTAATGCGACCCGACTGTACCCGTTCACCTTGGTACAGTCGGTGACTGATACTGCAGAACACTGCACTCATCTCCGAGGATGCAGTACAGTGGAAGTAGTTATACTTGTGTATCTGCAGCCTGCAGCGCTGCAGTGAGAAACGAAATTGCATTGTTGTAATTTATGGTTCAACTACTGAATATGCTCAAGCGATGCCGTCACAGGTTTACAGTGAATTGCTAATAATGGAAGAAATGTGGATAATGTAAATACACGAGTAAATATAGTTTAAAGGTTTGTCGAGAAAATTACTATGGTAGTGAAAAAGGATATCTATATAAATAAAATTAGAGTTTTGTCTGTACATTGCTCAGAATTATATACTTTTAGGTTATTTTTACGTTTTATACATTAAAGAAGCAGAAACGAGTCTTATCTCAATTTCTGTCTGTCTGTCTGTCCCTTTGTCTGTAACACTCAAGATGGCATTTTACGCAATCTTCTCCGTGAAAACCAGAGTACATATCAAGATCCAAGCCATTTTAATGTATTCACTGGATTGGCGAGAGTGTCTTTAGTGATTTAAATATAGCCTCACTACTTTGTAAATAAAATTACGGACGTTCAAAAATGCAGCTTTGTGCGATTTTTGTCAAATTTTCGTTCAATTTTTATCACAGAATCGTCTATGAAATAACGAACAGCTGTTCGGATCAAGATTATTTTTTCTAGCTGTCAATGACATGTTTACAAATGCTGTTTACAAATACCGCAACTATTTCGAATCACGTTTTGAAAGCAAATCCCAACCAAGTGAGATTAAAAACGTTTTTCTTACATAACGGATTTAATTAATCGCAAGTGCAATAATATAGTCTAATAGTGTAACCGTAAATGAAATTAAATAACTAGACATCGTCCAAATCGGAACCAGAAATTCTTTGAGTATATAATGTTTCTTGAGTTTTGACAACCAGAAAGAAGAAGACCTTGAATCAGTGTTGTATAGGGCTGTGACACTGAAATGATCGTCGCCAATAGCTTACAAAAAAGGTTTCCACTCATTGACGGCGCTTCAATGGCGATTGTGTAAAGTGTAAAGTAAAAAATCACAACTGCAGTGGGTGATTGTAACAGAGGTTTTACAGAGGAAGTGCTAAACTCGCTTTTCCAATGTGTCACTTTCTGTTTCTACTCACCGTGTGATGCAATCGCTGGACCATACAGCCAATAGGCCCATAGCTCATATCTTGGGTACGTAAGCCTACATATTTATTCATAACAACCTTTTTGACGACGATCCTTGATACCGGTACTTTTCCATAGAATACATGGCCTACCTACTTAAAAAATAAAATTACAAATGACCAAAACCCCAACATTGTGTGATTTTCGTCACATTTCCTTCTAATGTTAATAGATATACTAATCATTGTTTAGAGAATGCGTAATCTATTAAATAACAAAAAGTTGTTTGGGTAAGGTTGCTTTTTTTTCAAACTGACACCGATAAGTTTACGCTATAACTTTTTACGAGAAAATCCAAAAGCAAGAGATCAATAACCTCGAAGCTAGATATTAATGTATTTAATTGGTCCGATTTACTGTAATTCTTAGGTAGGTTCTTACGTAGGTAATGGTTCTTTTCCTTAGAACCGGTAGTTTACAAATTAGATATCGTTGGTGTTGCACCTTATTTATTAGAGCCGTCCGTATTCAATTTAAGTGATGTCTTAACTCTGTATAAGTTTTGCTTTTTCTGCCTGGATTCCAAATCTTAGCTTACCCGGTATGCTAAGAAAATGATAACCTATTTGAGTAAAAAATTTGTTGGGCAAACCATCATGAATTGTTTACGCCTTTATATTGTTTATGTATCAATAGTTCGTGGCCTTTGTTGGATTGTTGTATTGTGTTGTTTTGTTGTATGTTGGTAACGCATTAATGTCCTTATTTCTCAGTGTTTCACGGAATGGACAAGAGCACCTTTGATACTGAAAATGTCAACCGGAATAAAGTGTTAAATGGTGAGGTTGAGGTAGTACTTTAAATACGTTTAAGTTAACCGATGTGGAAAGTAACTTTCAATTATAGGCCTACGCTTCATGGATCTATAAAACATTTTTAAGTTTAATCATTGGACATATGGACCAACACGATCCGGGCGACATTTAATTGTGAAGCATTTATTTTGGCTTGAACTGTCAGATACTGTATTTGCGAAGGTTTATATATAATAGTTTTGCCAGCATATCTGCAAATATGGAAACTAATTGCTGCTCTTAATCTTAATATAAGAAGGTTTCAACTGACTACTATAAGATCCCCGTGCGTAGAACGGGCACACAGCTAGTTTTCATACTAAACAAATAAATACAAGTAGACTTATATAAAAGAGCAAGCCGACACCCACATAAAATACATTTTTCAGTTATTACTTTTTTATTTCAAACTCAAAGAATTCTCCTGGACTCAACCACCCTATACTGTACCGTACATAAGTATTATTACGCTGACACTGTACAATGAAATACTTTGCACATAGCTCACGATTGTTTACAGTACAATGATTTTTTTTAGATATGCATCAGAAGTGTGGTCGAAATAATCAAAATTATATTGTTATGAGATGTATTTTTAAATGTATTGAAAATATAGTAGCTCGATTAATCTGTTTTTCATATTTTATTTAAGTAGGTATTATCATAGACTAACTATGTTATTATGTAAATTACTTCAAAGGAAGAAGAATAAACTTGGCCACTTCAACTGCATATTTGAATGGAGAAAATATTGAGAACTGTAATAGGTAATAAATAAAGACTCGATTATAGCAATTCTGTAAGTTGGTCTTTAATAATTATTGTTAATACCAGGAGCGTAGTTGTAAGGAGTGATTACTGCCCTTATATCACAATGCACAATGTTAATGTCATGCAACAACATTGTCAAATGGCTACTGAGTCACTGAGTCTAGATATGACCTCTGAAGATGCCATTGTCAAACATAAATAAGTCTGGAAATGTCCCATACAAAAATCTTTGCATATTGCAAATGAGATTGTCAAACGGCAACTGGGTCCAGAAACGATGTTTCTAGCAACATTTGAAGATGACTTGGTGGCATATACGACATTTACACTTCTCACAGGACATGCAGTTTTTTCAATTTGTATAATAATTGTATTATTACCTATATTATATTAATGTACTGTAGGCTACATACCGGCAAGGCTGACGACGCCTCCAGGTCCCCGCGTCTGGCACGCCACGACTGAAACAAAAACATACAGTTAGGGAAATAACCATAGGTTACAGACGAATAGTTATAGCTATAAACAGCCTACAGGTAGACTTCTTAGCCTTTCTAGCACTTCTTCAAAAGTATCTTCAGAAAATGTGCCGCCAATAAAACATAAACTGTCGGTAAAAGTGAAGAAAAGCAGTGTCCTCGATCAGTTTGGGAAGTTTTCCCCATAAATCTAATTTGATTTGAATCACGTACGTATCTCAAATAATTTATTTGTTGTCTGCATAATTTTTACAAAACTAAACAAATCTTTCTTTAACAATTTTTTTTTAGTTCAGGTCAATAAATGTATGTACATTGGAAACTCGTTTTGATAACCAGAAACACGATGCAGCCATTGTCTATCCCCATTAATTCTACCAATAGTATTCTGTTGTACACGGAAACATTAATATCTTTTGCAACTTAATAGTAATCAGAATATGCTCTTCTTCTCTGAACTGTGACACCACAATTCTCACACCCATCAAAGTGACGGTTCGGCCTCGTCCTGACCGGGATCAGTGGGTGGGTCCAATAAACGGTAGACAATTACCAGCACAAGCTCTCTTTGACGGGATCGGCCACCCATGAAGCGGGCCCGGGCTGATGGCTGATGGGAACGCGTGGTCAGCTGTCCATGGCATGAGGAAGGTGTGGGAAGGAAGGAAAGGATTATAAACATTACCAGACCGTAACCTCAGAGACATCTCGCTTGTTTTGACTGGGCCACATCCTGCCTGGAAGTGTTACACGTATTGTCTTCAATCGTTCAAACGCACCGCCACGCCACACTGTGTGCGTGTGTGTGAGCGTGATGCGTGTGTTTGATAGAGAAGGTCTGGGCGTGAACTACACAACAGTAACCTAATGTCAATGAAGGTTTAGAAGAGAGTCTTCTTATCCTCGAGAACGTAAACGGTAACACTACAGCTGAATAGAAAGGCTGGCTGCAGAAATGATTATAAACTCGAGCTGTCAAGCGTATTATTTTTCTAACCTAACCTATGACACTAGGCTGGGCATTGTCTTTTAAACAGACACAGCACAACCACCTAGACAATAAAATATACAGCCCTCATAGCCTACTTCAGAAATGTCCCGTACGTGCTGAGAGATTATCGAAGGTCTGTAAAGGTGTTCAGACTGGGTTTTGAAGCTAAACTTGTTTTTATGGCAATCATCAGGGCCTGAATTAAAAATCCAATGAAATTAATAAATGAAGCCTTACGTATACTTAAGTATAGGACTATGAACAATTTCAAGTACTTGTTGGTCAAACTTCAGACCTATTCTATCTTCAAGTGGGGAGGGACCAGTCGGATGACTGCGGTTTTGCTCGTGTGAACCGTGTTCACTGATATTTTATTGGTTCTCCTCTTGTCTAACTGTTTGTCTTTTCTCCAAAGCTACGTTGAAAGGACGGATTAGTAAACTAAATCTTTTCACAATAGGAGTGGAGAGAAAAAATTGAATTTTAACAGCAACAAGCAAACTTTGTGAACACTGTTTTATGTTTGAGTAGAAAATTACTACGTCCGTTTCAGAAATGGGTATGTCTACTTAAGTATCAACATACCATTGACAATGAATATAAAATGTTTTGTTATGTTTTATTATTTGAATATAGTTTCTCCTGGTCCATGGTTTTCCTAATCGGTGATTAATTCGCTAAAATCCTCGATTGATATAATCAAACCGTATGAGGTAACTTCTTATAGCTAATTATAGTCCGTCCGTTTTTTTTTATTACGAAGAAAATTTGGTGACTTATAAATCGATCACCCTGTATAAATGAGGCAACTCGTTTAGTCATCGATCATATTGCTGTACAATGATGATGACGTAACAGACACCACAGCTCCTCCCTCTCCACCCTGGTGTATTGTGCGGTTAACCATAACCTGTGTGGTTACATGGCGGTTGTGTAATGCGAGAACCTATCTTTGGTGATGATAACGAGCCAAGACAATACCTAATATGTTCAACAGCATATACATCGCTGGTAGGTTACTAACCTTTCTACTTATGGCATTCTTAGTTCCGCCAACAATAACAGTGTTATGCAGTAGTAAACTCTTTACCTTTATTTGAATACATATGTATTTACAAAAGGTTTATTTATATCAAACCCTTGGCTCGATATGTCTTTACGTTTAGAACGCATAGTTTTTTTTTTCTTTCCTACTCTTGAACCTTCAGATTTCTGATAGTTACGTTCAAAATGTTTATGACTTGCTGTGTTGACGAAACGTACAGCAGTACAGTGTCATTATATTGATATAAAATAGACTATATATTTTAACTTCTACATGAATTTAGCAAACTACAATTATGTTGATGCAACTTTAAAAAAAAAATGGTGCAAAAGTATGCGGAAATTGTACGCAATAATTCCAAATGTCCACGGTTCCACCTGTTGGAAGCAGAAGTCCCAGATTTTAGGTTTGACCGTTTGCGTCGAGTACTATAACAGCAACATCAAATGCCTACTGGACATCATCGGTGGCCGGACAAGGTACCAAGGAACTCAGCAACTATACCTTTTTTCCTCAGAAGTTCCAGATACCAAGTTAACCCGCGCGCACTATTGTACACAAAATGAAAATGTCTACTTGTCGTTGGTCGATGGACGCGGAGCGAGTTTTTACTGTTTATGCCTCGTCTGGTTTTTCTCGGTGGTCTCGGATGAACGCTTCTACACTCTTGTCTCTGGCACTTTGAAAGACCAGCGGTTTCTATTTAAAGTTCCCGTAAAGATTCATTATTCTATTTAGTAGTCACAATATACATCAATATTGGTGAACGAATTCACTATCAACCCGTTTACTTGAATTTTAACGACAAACCTTGAGCAAAATAATGTAGCAGGAAAAGAATATGCATTCGTCTAGTATGATAATCAATGATAAAGTGGGCCGTGAAAACATCCACCTGATTGACAGCAGGAAGCGTGGACGAGATAACGTGATTGACATTAGAGACATTCCACGATCTAAAATGAATGAACGAATAAATCAAGCAGGTTAACTTTTCTGGTTGTGATACAGATGATCTTCCAGTTCTTGAAGATACGGTACAACACGGTGTTGGTACACAACAAACATGCTCATCTGGACCGTTGCAGGAGTGGGAGTTGCAGTTAAACAGTGTTATCTCAAGTTTACTACTTGCTTTGCCAGGAATGTAGTGATAAGAACAGTAAATAGCGGTAAGATGATGAACACGCCTCTCTTACTCCGTTTGTTATGCTAAATTCCAGGGTAAAGTTGTGAAGGTAATGAGAGTCTGTGGTGATGAGTTGAAAACTATCATTGACGAGAGCTGTATCTGCTACCTGGTTAGCTGAGTGGATATAATGCTCGCATATTAATCATAAAGTTGCCGGTTCAATCCGAAAAAGTCATACAATTTAAGATGGTTCAAAACACGGCCCAAGTGTCATCATTGGTGTAATAGTCGGGCTATAATAAATAATGGTCCCGGAAAATGAATCAGTTGAACCTAGTCTGCAGCAAAGCTGGCATCTCTACTCAACGGTCAACACTCATTCTTCACACATCATCATCCACGCTGGTGTGTTGTCGCGAATGAATCTAATACAATCTACTAATCTATCATTAGGATGGAAACTGGAAAGCGACAAAGCTGGCACACTGTTCAACACATTCTTCACATATCTCCGTCTAAGCTAACACTGGTGTCGCATATGAATCTCATAAAATTGTCCATAAAACTAGGTTTAGAATGGAAACTGGAAAGCAATATGGTTTACTTTCCCCTTTTCCTGCGGTACAACCTTCTTTCTCTTGGTAACATGTAGGGACAAAGCTCCTCGAGAGAGAGCTGGCGGCGACGTAGAGGTGACAATGACAGTGACCTTGAGAGTGACAAGGTGTAAGTCACGTGACAAGACGTGACACGTGTGGACGATGGCCGTGACGCGTGACAAATGTGGCATGCTGGAGCTTCTGGAAACGCAGCTCTGCAACATGTGAAGGGCTGATGCCCAGTTGAAATATGGTACAAAGATGGTCAAAGGAATTTGCAAGGGTCGACAAAGTCCTCCCTCCCAAGAGTGCCCAGTTGCACCCATCGATGTGGGAGTTATTATACATACAGTAGATTGTTGCACCGGCGGTCAACAATCTGTCACGCTTGGATGCTCCTTCCCCTCCTCGAACGCTTTTTATATACCTATCCCCTCTCTTACGTTTCATCGTATATAGTCTAAGCTAAATATTTACCATATATAGGGAACTATCAGTTAACCCTTTCATTGCTACGGGGTCAAGAGTAACAAACAAACATTACAAACACATAGACTGATTTCAACTCACTCAATCATATAATTTTGCCTTAAAACGTTTATCTCTTTGTCTTGAAATATATTTACTGAATTGCATTTTTTGTAAACCTAACTTAACCTAACCGTTTACCGTACTAACTACGTTTAACAACATTTTAATGGAAGGGGAGGGCGTTAGGGATCCTTGACCGCCGGTGCAACTGGGCATCACCCTATAAGCACAGACAATATAATACTAAGGACCATCGGTGAGACTGGGCATTCGAGATTAGGGCCACCGCTGACCATCGGTGCAACTGGGCAACTGCCATGGGAAGGAATAGGTAGGTAGCAAATTACTTGAAGAATAGAGCGTCAAAAGGTTACAGAGAGCGAAGTGTCCTCTAAGGCTAAGGAGTATGCCTCATATTTGGAATTTACAAATCCGTAAAGCCCTGCACACACCAGAGCGATACTCCGTGCGATACTGGAGCGGGCGCGATACTTTTTCTTGGAAATTCTCTTGCGATACCAGTGGTCCGTGCGATACCATGGAGCCTTATGGAGCCGCACACACCAGAGCGAACCGCGATACGCGATACCGAGGCGAATGCGATACCGTAGCGATAGTATCGCGGTAACGCTGCATGCACTGTTTGCAGCGCTGTATCGCGGCGATACCAATGTGGCCAAACGA